AGGAGGTGATTCTCTTCTGGCCAACAATATTATACTGTTCCAGAGCAACGTTCTATGTTTGCTAAACTTTGAAAGGCATTCTTAGATATTCCTCCTCTCCCTGCGGGCTCTAGGGGTGAAAAAGAAATCCCTTTTTACAGTAGGTCAAAGATCCCCTGAGGGTAGGGTGGGAAAGAGGAAGTCATAATTACCCTGGCGACAATAGTGTTGGTCAAGGTCAGGACTATTTTTTTTTCCTCCTATTTTTCAGGAGCCAAAAACCAGTCAGGACTATTTTTGACAATTCGGTTTGATGGTTTAGTCTTCTGAACCCTCCAGTAGACCTTAGAACTTGGTATACACAGTAATTCCGTCCTCGAATATTAAAAGCCTTTAGTTAGAGTAAGATCTGCCAAATTCAAAGCTGAGCCATGAGTCAGAAATTTTTTTCCAAGCACCATAGGAAAAAAAAATTTTAAAAAGAAATCTTTTTTTTTTGAGACGTAATTTCATTCTTGTTGCCCAGGCTGGAGTGCAATGGTGTGATCTTGGCTCATCGCAACCTCTGCCTCCTGGGTTCAAGCGATTCTCCTGCCTCAGCCTCCTGAGTAGTTGGAATTACAGGTGCATGTCACCATCCCCTGCTAAATTTTGTATTTTTAGAGAGACGGGGTTTTACCATGTTGGTCAGGCTGGTCTCCTGACCTCGTGATCTGCCCGCCTCAGCCTCCGAAAGTGCTGGGATTACAGGTGTGAGCCACTGCACCTAGCTGCTTGTATTTTTATAGGTATAACAAGCAAAATAAGTGAAGAATATGCTGTATAATTCCATTTGTAATCTCTACCTAGTTTCAGTAGCTGTGGGGTTCATCTTTCCATCACTGGTAATTGGAGAGTAACTCTACCTCCCAGAGGAAGGATGACTGCTTGTTGTAAATTAAAGACTCATTGTTCAAGGCTCATTGAATTGTCAGTGTAGGGGGACCTGAGGCAAAGAGCATTGTTGTTTTCAAGAGTTATTTTGTGTATCACATTGATGTGCAGTTTGTAAGGAAATGACTCCTACCCTCTATTTGTTTACACACCTTAGTTCTCATTTATGCCCCTTCCTTCATCAACAAATAATGATTTTCTACTTTTTGCCTGGTTCTTTCTAGAAGAGTAGTTCTTAATAGCATTCAGAAAAATCACCTGGTTTCAATGGTAGGCTGTCACAAAAAAAAATAAAACATAAAAATCACAGGGAGAACTTTAAAACACAGATTCCTGGTCCTTACAACCAAAGATTCCTGTTCAGTGGTGAAGCCCATAAATCAGCATCTCTAACAAGCTCCCAGATATACTGAGGATGCTGGTGAATGAACCATATATACGCTTCTAGGGCTGCAGACAAGACAATAAATAAAATAGGCAAAAATAAAAATAGGCCAGTGCGGTGGCTTACACTTACACTTGTAATCCCAGCACTTTGGGAGGCCGAGGTGGGTGGATCACCTGAGGTCAGGAGTTCTAGACCAGCCTAGCCAACATGTCGAACCCCGTCTCTATTAAAAATACAAAAAATTAGCCGAGCATGGTGGTGTGTGCCTGTAATCCCAGCTACTCGGGAAGCTGAGGCAGGAGAATCGCTTGACCCGGAAGGCGGAGGTTGCAGTGAGCCAAGACTGCGCCATTGCACTCCAGCATGGGCAACAAGAGGGAAACTCTATCTCAAAAACAAACAAACAAACAAAAAAATTGCCCTCACAGAGCTTACATTCTAGTGATAGTAAGGAGATAAATCAGATAGGTAGGTAGGTAGGTAGGTAGGTAGGTAGGTAGATAGATAGATAGATAGATAGATAGATAGATAGATAGATAGATAGAATGTATATTACCTGTGTCACCTGGCCAAAGGGTAGGTTCACATTTGGCATGTGCGTCAATCAAAGCTGCACTTGACCATTTCTAATCATCTCCAACACTACCTATTGCCCTATCCAAATCCTATCACTTGAATTATTCAAAAAGTCTCCCATTTTGCTTTTGGTGGGATTTGGTCAGCTCCCTTACTGCAACCTGTTTTATCAGAAAGTCTTTATGACCTGTATTTTGTGCTGACCTCCTGTCTCATCCTGTGATTTAGAATGCCTTCACCATCTGGGAATGCAGCCCAGTAGGTTTCAGCCTCATTTTCCCCAGCTCCTATTTAAGATGGAGTCGTTCTGGTTCACAAGACTCTGATAGTGATCTGCTCACTAAGTGTTAGTTGCCGTGTTTTCTCCCACAACTCCCTCCTGTTGCACCCCTGCCTTTGAGTCCTGCTAAACAACAGTATTGGAATCCATCATTTTCTCTGGTGCCTTTACCCAAAAGGTTAATTTTCTGGAATTCCCTTCTCTCCACATTTTTCCTTCTCAGATCACTGAAGATTGTCCAGTCTTCCCTGCCCACCCCTCCCCCACCCCAACCTCTATTATTTGTACTTTCTTAGCATCCAGCGCATTTTTTCCCCGTACTTATTACACAACATTATAATTATAATTAGCATTGTAATTGTCGTTTTGGTCTATTTGATCTACTCTACTAAATCTTTTTTTTTTTTTGGAGATAGGGTCTCACTCTGCCTCCCAGGCTGGAGTGCAATGGCGAAATCTCGGCTCACTGCAACCTCCACCTCTCAGGTTCAAGTGATTCTCCTGTCTCAGCCTCCCTAGTAGCTGGGATTACAGGCATGCACTACCACGCCCAGCTAATTTTTGTGTTTTTAGTACAAACAGCGTTTCACCATGTTGGCCAGGCTGGTCTTGAACTCCCGATCTCAGATAATCGGTCTTGCAAAGTGCTGAGATTACAGGCGTAAGCCACCGCGACCAGACCAGCCGTTAGCTCATTTTAACACATCCTTACTCCAGCCTGTTCCAAAACATCTAAAGTCAGACAGCTTCCTAAACCTCAACTTTATTCAAATTGCTTTCCTAGGCGAAGAATGTGGTAAGTCGGCCTTCCAGCCACCAGCCCCCTTCCCTTTGGTCTTTCACTCCGGAGGCTCTTACCCTAGACACAATGGGACAGGGGGCGGGGGATGGGGGAATTCAGCTCAGACTTTTATGCAAAGACCCCCTTCTGCAAAGAACAAAGCTTCTGGTACCTGCCCTTTCGAGAGCTGCGGGCAAGCTCAACTTCGGTGAGTCTTGCTGGCCTTGACAGCCCCCACTTACCAAACTGCTGATTAAGAAAGACAGGAGAGCACGTTTTTCCCTTTTTAAAAGAAATCATCCTATTTCCTATGAGACACAGACTATCTGCCTGAAGCTTGATTTATCTAGTTCCACTCACCGGCTCCTTGATACCCCTATGCTTAATCTTCTCCCGAATGGTGGTCTGAGAAGAAAAAAGATTACCTCCAATTTCACTTCCTTGCTTCGCACCCAGCAATACTTTGACTCTCAACAGTTGGAGTCTTTCCATTGTGAACAAAGGCAGCTTGTGTGGGAGCAAAGCCAGCTGCTTTGGGTGCAGACCTAGGAGCAGAGTGCAGAGGAGAATGAGGCAAAGAAGTTGTGTCTTCAAAAATCACATAATCGGGATTTGCTAAGAGTTTACTTTTCAGTGTGGGAGATTGGAAAAGAGGAACAAATCCTAGGTTTTTTGAATGTTGGGTTTGGGAATAGGAAGGAAAATCGAAAACTGTAGACTTTGTCCATAAATGTTAGTGCTGGAACCCCACTCTAAAAACTTCGTTCATTTGGAAAACACCTCCCTTCGCCCAGAAACACACACACACACGATGGGCACCGAGTAGTCTTGAAAGACAGGACAATATCACCAGACCTGAGAAGAAGCTAAAGAGCCAGAGGGAAAAAGTCAGAAGTGGACTACCTGGAAGGAGGGATAGACAAGAGACCAAACTAAAGGAAACTAAGGTAGGGGCTGAAAACAAGTACCATTTTCTTTTCTTTTTTTTTTTTTTTGAGACCGAGTCTCGCTCTGTCGCCCAGGCTGGAGTGCAGTGATGCGATCTCGGCTCACTGCAAGCTCTGCCTCCTGGGTTCAGGCCATTCTCCTGCCTCAGCCTCCCGAGTAGCTGGGACTACAGACGCCCACCACCACACCCGGCTAATTTTTTGTATTTTTAGTAGAGACAGGGTTTCACTGTGTTAGCCAGGATGGTCTTGATCTCCTGACGTCGTGATCCGCCCGCCTCGGCCTCCCAAAGTGCTGGGATTACAGGCGTGAGCCACCGCGCCCGGCACAAGTACCATTTTCAACATTAACTGATGCCTTGGCTTCATACTATGATGCTATGTTGTGTTTTACTATGACCTCAGAGTGAATGAAAGAGGAAAATGGAGCTAGTTGAAATTTCTGGCCAAACTAGACAGATTTTGAGACACTAAGTTATCTCAAATCAAGAAATCGCCCTAATGAGAATTTCAGTAACCTCAGGAATTGAAGGTACATGCATCCCCACCCCCACCCCCCTTTTTGAGACATAGTCCCGCTCTGTAGCCCAGGCTGCAGTGCAGTGGTGCGATATCGGCTCATCGCAACCTCCGCCTCCCAGGTTCAAGGGATTCTCCCGCCTCAGCTTCCGGAGTAGCTGGGACTGCTGGGGCCCACCACCACGCCCGGCTAATTTTTGTATTTTTAGTAGAGACGGGGTTTCGCCATGTTGGCCAGGCTGGTTTCGAACTCCTGACCTCAGGTGATCCGCCCGCCATGGCCTCCCAAAGTGCTGGGATTACAGGGGTGAGCCACCGCGCCCGGCCTTTTTCTTTATTTTTAAAGTTTTATCCCATTCCTGTTGAACCATTCCTGATTTAAAAGTTGGAAACGTGGTGAACCTAGAAGTATTTATTGCTGGGTTTGTCTTCAGGTTCTGTTACCTGGTTTTCTAGTTCCCGACCTTGTCTGGGTTACTCCGCAGCTACTTTTGCATTACAATGGCCTTGGTGAGACTGGCAGACGGGATTAATTGAGAATTCACAAGGGTGGGGGGTGTGCCCGCCAGGAGGGGTGGGTCTAAGGGTGATAGAGCCTTCATTATAAATCTAGAGACTCCAGGATTTTAACGTTCTACTGGACTGAGCTGGTTGCCTCCTGTTATTGTGTAGGCGACTCACTTTATCCTGACTTCTTGATACTTCTGCTTCTGGAGGTCATATTTCTCTAACATCTTCCAGAAAAGTCTTAAAGCTGCCTTAACCTTTTTTCCAGTCCACCTCTTACATTTTTTTCTCCTCTTCCTCAATACTAACATGAGTGTGGATCCAGCTTGTCCCCAAAGCTTGCCTTGCTTGGAAGCATCCGACAGTAAAGAATCTTCACCTATGCCTGTGATTTGTGGGCCTGAAGAAAACTATCCATCCTTGCAAATGTCTTCTGCTGAGATGCCTCACACGGAGACTGGTAAGAAAGACATTTATCCTTGAAAGGCCAAGTTACTTAAGGGAAAAAAGAAGGAGAGAGGGTTAAGGGATCATTTCCCTCTTGAGCAATGATAGACCATTATTATAAGCAAGTGTTATTATCAACTAATTCTCTGGAAACTCCTCTTTCAATTGTAACTTGGTAGCACCTGTCCTTTTCCCATGTCCCAGGTCTCAGGAGTATGCACTGAGTTGAAGGACACAGAATTTGGCAGTTGAACAGTGCAGTAAATTTGAGAACCTATGGGCTTAGGCATGGTGGAAACAAAGTTAAATGAAGGTGATGCGCACACCTTCACATAGCACTGGACACACAGCTATAGAAGATGTTACTGCTAATTAACCAGAAGACCTAACATCATAGCTCAGGGACGAGCATGATGTTTTTGTTTTGCCAAAAATGGCATGGCAGATCACGATGAGATTTCTGTAATTAATATATAATTTGTGTAATTCTTTCTACGTCACTAACGGCTGGCTCTTCTCCATTCTCTGGGTTTGTGGATGTTACTGGGCAGCTCTTGAGTTTGGGAGCAGCTCCCATGTTTACTTCTCCTAAGTCCTGGGAAGTGTTGATTCAACTTTACCGTAAAGATAATTCTAGAAAGTTTAATCTACTGACAGTCAAACAGAACGTAGCTAGAAGTCCAGTTTGCCTCCAAAACCTGTGCTAGTACTCGGGCTTCTGACTGGTAGCTGCAAGGGGTGGGGGATACTCGGGATACTCATTAAGCCACTACCACTTTTTTGAAAAATCAATTTTTCAGTAGTTTTCAAAAACTTAAGAATGAACCAACTTTACCAAGAATGCCATTGGTAACACTGACACTGTAAAATAGCTTAAAAAGTGCATTTACATTATGACTAATGTTGCAAAGAGTAGGTTGTGGAAAAGGAGTAAGTAAACACGATTGCTATATTTGAGCCTTAGATTTGAATGTCACCCTGCTTTTCTCTTTTTGAGAGTCAGGGACTCGCTGTGTTACCCGGGCTGGAGTGCAATGGTATGACCATGGATCACTGTAGCCTCAACCCTGGGCTCAAGTGATCCTCTTGCCTCAGCCTCCCAAGTACTAGGATGAGAGGCGTGTGTCACTATACCCAGCTAATTTAAAAATTCTTTTTGTAGAGACAGGGTCTCACTTTGTAGCTGGTCCTGACCTCAAGCGATCCTCCACTCTCAGCTTCCAAAGTCGCTGGGATTACAGGCGTTGACCTACCCACATTGCTATTCACCCAGTTTTTCAAAACTTTGCATTAATGTTCTTGTCTTTATACTTTTTTTCTTTTTTTTTTTTTTGAGACAAGGTCTTAATGTTGCCCAGGCTGGAGTGCAGTGGCGCGATCTCGGCTCACTGCAACCTCCGCCTCCCAGATTCTGGTGATTCTCCTGTCTCAGTCTCTCGAGTAGCAGGATTACAGGCGCATGCCACCACGCCCGGCTAATTTTTGTATTTTTTAGTAGAGACGGGGTTTCGCTATGTTGGCCAGGCTGGTCTCAAACTCCTTACCCCAACTGATCCACCTGCCTCGGCCTCCCAAAGTGCTAGAATTACAGGCATGAGCCACTGCGCCTGGCCACCTTTATAATTTCAGACGTTAAAAATAACAGTGCTGGGTTTGGGAATGAGCAAGTGGGCGTGTTTTCTTTAGCACACATCAAGTGACAGTTTATATAACTAGCTAATATTTAGGATTTTCCCCAATTCTAATCATTAGTTGAAAGGCTTCCTCTGCTTTTCAGATCTCCTTGCAAGACACAAGAGATTGTGAATTTTGCTGTTTTAGAGCCTGTCCATTTGTTCTGTGACTGCAGGTTAGAATTGAGAGATAAACACTGGGAAAACTAGGTATTCATTTCTAGTTATAAAATCAGTATATGCCAGGCCCTATGTTAGAGAATTTCAATTGGTTACCTCGTTTAAATAAATAAATAAAAATTTTTGGAGATGAGGTCAGAGCTAGTAAACGGAAGGCCTGGATGGAAACAGAAACTTATGCAAATTCACATATCATGCTGGTCGTAGCATTAAGAACTGGGCAGTCAGTCGCGGGTTTTTTATTTTTTGAGACACAGTCTCACTCTGTCGCCCAGGCTAGAGTGCAGTGGCAGGATCTCAGCTCACTGCAATCACTGCCTCCCGGGTTCAAGCGATTCCTCTGCCTCAGCCTCCCCAGTAGTTGGGATTACAGGCATGTGCCACCACTCCTGGCTAATTTTTGTAATTTTTAGTAGACATGGGGTTTCACCATGTTGGCACACTGGTCTTGAACTCTTGACCTCAAGTGATCCGCCCAACTTGGCCTCCCAACGTGTTGGGATTACAGGCGTGAGCCATCACACCTGGCCGAGGTGCTGGTTTTATTGAATCCCCAGAATCATGTCATTTAAGCAATCACGAAGGTGTTGATGAAGATCATAAACAGAAAGTGATTTAGGGTGAGATGCAATAGGTGAAAATTGGTGGATATCTATTCTGACCTATTAACACCCAGTGTGGGGACTTTTGAGCATCAGTTTAAAGTAAAACGTGGTAGCGCCGGCCCGGCGCGGTGGCTTACGCCTGTAATCTCAGCACTTTGGGAGGCCGTGGCAGGCGGATCATGAGGTCAGGAGTTCGAGACCAGCCTGACCAACACTGAGAAACCCTGTCTCTACTAAAAATACAAAATTAGCCGGGCGTGATGGTGCATGCCTGTAATCCTAGCCCCTCCAGAGGCTGAAGCAGGAGAATCGCTTGAACCCGGGAGGTGGAGGTTGTGGTGAGCAGAGACTGCGCCATTGCACTTCAGCCTGGGCAACAAGAGCGAAACTCCATCTTAAAAAAAAAAAAATGTGGTATCTTAAAAAAAAAAATGTGGTTAAAAAAACCGCTTAGCAATGCATTGGCCACTCTTGTAGATCTCTCCCAACGCGGTCTATTATATACAAAATGGAGATACTGATAAGACTTCTTGGATGAATACTGTACAAAGCTTGCCAAAGTGCCAGGGCTGGTTAAGAAGTTGCTTCTTATTACTTAGATCTGGGTCTCTGGGAATTATCAAAGTACTTTGAAAACACTTTTTTTAACAGGGTATTTTAATATTTGAAAAAAGTTTTAGACAAAAGTGTCCTTTTATTTGTTCCCGACAGTCTCTCCTCTTCCTTCCTCCATGGATCTGCTTATTCAGGACAGCCCCGATTCTTCCACCAGTCCCAAAGGCAAACAACCTACTGCTGCAGAGAATAGTGCCACAAAAAAGGAAGACAAGGTCCCGGTCAAGAAACAGAAGGCCAGAACTGTGTTCTCTTCCGCCCAGCTGTGTGTACTCAATGATAGATTTCAGAGACAGAAATACCTCAGCCTCCAGCAGATGCAAGAACTTTCCAACATCCTGAACCTCAGCTACAAACAGGTAGGCTTGTTTTGTTGTTGCAATGAGGTGAACAAAAATTAGACTAATTTGCATGGCTAAGATCTCTGTGGATGCACACAGATTTGTGTTCTATGTGTCAGCACATCGCCTCCTGCAAATAATTTAAGTATGAAGATGAAATGCTTTCGTAACTTTCTTCACCTCTTTCTTTCCTTAAATATTCTATTACGTGAATGTGTCATAATTTGACCACTTTCCTGCACAGACCAATATTGTGAAAATCTTTCCAACGTTTCCTTAATAAAAAAAGAAGTATGTAACTCCACTTTCCATGTTAGGAGGAGAATCCCTAACACACTGGTTCTCATTAAAATACAAACTTTATTTTTTTCCTTTTTTTTCTTTCTGCCAGCAACCTCCAGCTTGTTTTGTTTTTATCTGTGTGCACTTGCTTACTAAATCTAATCATTGTTCATTATTTATTGGCCATTTTCTTTCATTAATTGGCTTATCCTCTTCCAGCCTTTATTTCCTTTTTTTCTCTTGTTTATTTTTGAGATGGAGTCTCATTCTGTCGCCCAGACTGGAGTGCAATGGCCTCATAATGAGACATCATAATGACATTAGCATTACTTTGGCTGGTTTAAGTACAAATGAATGAAACCTCCACCTCCTGGGTTCAAGGGATTCTCCTGCCTCAGCCTCCCAAGTAGCTGGGATTACAGGTGTCCGCCACGATGCCTGGCTAATTTTATTGTATTTTTTAGTAGAAATGGGGCTTCACCATGTTGGCCAGGCTGGTTTTCAACTCCTGACCTCAAGTGATCCACCTGCCTCGGCCTCCTAAACTGCTAGGATTACAGGTGTGAGCCACCACACTTGGCCCTTGCCTTTATTTTCTATCCCAAAATGTTCATTTCTCTGTTTTTTTCTGAGACACTCTGGTTCTGTTGTCGCCCAGCTGGAGTGCAGTGATGCAATCTCGGCTCACTGAAACCTTAACTTCCCAGGTGCAAGCGATCCTCCCACCTCAGCCGCCTGAGAAGCTGGGACCACAGACATGCAGCATTACACCTAGCTAATTTTTTGTATTTTTGCAGAGGTGGTGTTTCCTCATGTTGGCCATCCTGTACTGAACTCCTGGGCTCAAGCAATCTGCCCGCCTTGGCCTTCCAAAATGTTGGGATTACAGGTGTGAGATATGGCGCCTGGCCAGGAATAAAAGTTAGCAATATACTTTGATTCACAGTACATCTGTAGGCCGGGCGCGGTGGCTCAAGCCTGTAATCCCAGCACTTTTGGGAGGCCGAGACGGGCGGATCACGAGGTCAGGAGATCGAGACCATCCTGGCTAACACGGTGAAACCCCGTCTCTACTAAAAAATACAAAAAACTAGCCGGGCGTGGTGGCGGGCGCCTGTAGTCCCAACTACTCGGGAGGCTGAGGCAGGAGAATGGCGTAAACCCGGGAGGCGGAGCTTGCAGTGAGCTGAGATCCGGCCACTGCACTCCAGCCTGGGCGGCAGAGCAAGACACCGTCTCAAAAAAAAAAAAAACAAAAAACAAAAAACAAAGTACATCTGTATTACTAATATTTTACAATTTCTGTCATTTTCCCCTGCAGGTGAAGACCTGGTTCCAGAACCAGAGAATGAAATCTAAGAGGTGGCAGAAAAACAACTGGCCAAAGAATAGCAATGGTGTGACTCAGGTAACAGGAAACTTTATTCTGTTCTTTCCTTTCAGTGATCTTTCAATCTTGTGCATCCCTGAAACACACAACACCAGTCACAGACAGTGCTGGTTGTCCTTGTACCCTTTCTGTTAATCCCTCCTTCTCTTTCAGAAGGCCTCAGCACCTACCTACCCCAGCCTCTACTCTTCCTGCCACCAGGGATGCCTGGTAAACCCGACTGGGAACCTTCCAATGTGGAGCAACCAGACCTGGAACAATTCATCCTGGAGCAACCAGACCCAGAACATCCAGTCCTGGAGCAACCACTCCTGGAACGCTCAGACCTGGTGCACCCAGTCCTGGAACAATCAGGCCTGGAACAGTCCCTTCTCTAACTGTGGAGAGGAATCTCTGCAGTCCTGCTTGCAGTTCCAGCCAAATTCTCCTGCCAGTGACTTGGAGGCTGCCCTGGAAGCTGCTGGGGAAGGCCTTAATGTAATACAGCAGACGACTAGGTATTTGAGTACTCCACAAACTGTGGATTTACTCCTAAACTACTCCACGAACATGCAACCTGAAGATGTGTGAAGATGAGTGAAATTGATATTACTCAATTTCAGTCTGGGCACTGGCTGAACCTTCCTCTTCCCTCCTCCCCTCCCTGAGAGGATTTTTCTCACTTGGAAACCACGTGTTCCGGTTTCCATTATGCCTATCCAGTCAGTTTGATGGAGGGTGGAGTATGGTTGGAGCCTAATCAGAGAGGTTTCTTTTTTTCCTATTGGATCTTCCTGGAGAAAAGACATTTTAATAACTTTGGCTGCTAAGGACAACATGATAAAAGCTGTCTCTGGCTATAGATAAGTAGATCTAATACTAGTTTGGATATCTTTACAGTTTAGAATCTAACCTCAAGAATAAGAAATACAAGTACAAATTGGTGTGATGAAGATATTCCTATTGTTTGGGATTGGGAGGCTTTGCTTATTTTTTAAAAACCATTGAGGTAAAGGGTTCAGTTGTAACATACTTAATTGATTTCCTCACCCTCTTTGGCTCAGTTTTACTATATTCCCTAATTTGTTGGTTATGCTAATCTTTGTAGAAAGAGGTCTTGTATTTGCTGCATCATAATGACATTAGTACTACTTTAGTCGGTTTAAGTACAAATGAATCAAACAACTATTTTTCCTTGAGTTGATTTTACCCTGATTTCACGTAGTGTTTCGATAAGTAAATATATGCTTAAACATAAATCTTTGTTAAAATTTTTGGTTGGGGTGAAGAAGGAAATTAACTGAGGAGATTGTTGTCTTAGAAATAGATAGAAATAGCTGAGCATGGTGGCCCATGCCTGTAGTCCCAGCTACTTGGGAGGCTGAGGCAGGAGAATCACTTGAACCTGGTAGGTGGAGGCTGCAGTGAGCCGGTATCACACCATTGCACTCCAGCTTGGGTGACAAGAGCAAAACTCCATCTCAAAAATAAATAAATAAATAAATAATAAACAAATATGCCAGTTTTAGAAAAAAGGGCACTTACATGCATTGTAGCTAGTCTACAAATACACAATGGGTTATTTCAGCGTATGAATCTATAATTGATGCCAACATTTAAAGTTTCATCAGAGGCCAATATGCAAGTAAATTCTAAGGCTAGTTGAAATAGTTTTATGTTCTCACCTTAAGAGCAGCTACGCGGGCATCAGTGAATTATACTAATAATCCTTTACTGTCCTTTTCCCATCTCGTGCCTGCCCTAAATGTATCTGATCTGATAGCACTTCCCTTCACTCTGAAGCAGCATGATGCAGGTGAGGAGAGTGGTTTTTTCCAGTCTTTTCGCTCATTATTTCCCCAATTGTCCAATGTTGCTCTCTAAGACTATCCAATCTGATTATCTAGGTATTGGCCAAGAGAAAAGAAGTAAGGTATAGTTGCCAGTGTTTGTTTTTTTTTGTTTTGTTTTTTGAGACGGAGTCTCTGTTGCTCAGGCTGGAGTGCAGTGGAGCAATCTTGGCTCAGCGCAACCTCCGTCTCGCAGGTTCAAGTGATTCTGCTGCCTCAGCCTTCCAAGTAGCTGGGACTACAGGTGCGAGCCACCACGCCCAGCTAATTTTTGTATTTTTAGTAGAGATGGGGCTTCACTATGTTGGCCAGGCTGGTCTTGAACTCCTGACCTTGTGATCCACTTGCCTTGGCCTCCCAAAGTGTTGGGATTACGGGCATGACCCACTGCACCTGGCCTATTGTTTGTTTTTTATAGACAGTCTCGCTCTATTGTCCAGGCTGGAGTGCAGTGGCGCAACTTTTTTTTGTTTTTTGTTTTTGTTTTTTTTTTTGAGACGAAGTCTCACTCTGTCTCCCAGGCTGGAGTGCAGTGGCACGATCTTGGCTCACTGCAACCTCCGCCTCCTGGGTTCAAACAATTCTCCTGCCCCAGCCTCCTGAGTAGCTAGGATTACAGGCACCTGCCACCCCGCCTGGCTAATCTTTTTTTTTTTTTTTGGTATTTTTAGTAGAGATAGGGTTTCACCATGCTGGCCAGGCTGATCTTGAACTCCTGACATCGTGATCTGCCCGCCTCAGCCTCCCAAAGTGCTGGGATTACAGGCGTAAGCCGCCATGCCTGGCACAAATTTTTTTTTTTTTTAATACAGAGTCTTGCTCTGTCACCAGGCTGGAGTCAGTGGTGCAATCTCAGCTCACTGCAACTTCCACCTCCCAGGTTCAAGCGATTCTCCTGCCTCAGCCTCCTGCGTAGCAGGGATTATAGGTGCCCGCCACCATGCCCAGCTTTTTGCTACTTTTAGTAGAGATGGGGTTTCACCATGTTGGCCAGGATGGTCTCGATCTCTTGACCTTGTGATCCACCCACCTTGGCCTCCCAAAGTGCTGGGATTACAGGCATGAGCCACCGTGCCCAGCAGTTTTTTTTTTTTTAGAAACGGGCACAGCATGGAGTGCAGTGGCACAATCTGGACTCACTGCAACCTACACCTCCCAGGTTCAAGTGATTCTTTTTCCTGCCTCAGCCTCTCTAGTAGCTGGCAGTAGATATGGGAATTTGCCATGTTGGCTAGGCTGGTCTGGAACTCCTGACCTCAGGTGATCCACCTGCCTTGGCCTCCCAAAGTGCTGGGTTTACATGTGTGAGCCACTGCACCCAGCCTTTTTTTTTCTTTTTGTTTTTTCTAAATGGCTCTTGCTTTGTCCCCAGGCTTTTGAGGACAGTGGTGTGATCATAGCTCGCTGCAGCCTCAACCTTCAGGGCTCAAGCAACCCTTCTGCCTCAGCCTCCCAAGTAGCTGGGATTATTAGGTACCAGCCAGGGCATTTTGCTCAAAGGTAGTTTCTGCTACAACATAAATGACAATTCATTTCAAGTGTCAGATACTTCAGTTGCGTGCCAAGCCCTGTTTGTTATGGACCGAGGAGATAATAGGAAGTACTGCTTGAGCAACTAAAATAGTATGAAAATTCCATTCTCCAAGTCACTACTTCACACTCTTACGAGTTGAGAAAATTTGAGTATGACTTGTAAAGACCCCGTTGCCTATACTTGGCTTTTTAACTTTAAACACCTTATATTTTAAATGTATGAGAAAAGAAAGAATGCCTGTAACAGATTTAAACCAGGACTTTTTGTTGTTGTTGTTGTTTTATTTTCAAGCAGGGTCTCTCTCTGTTGCCCGTGCTGAAGTGTGCAGTGGCATGTTCTCGGCTCACTGCTACCTCGACTTCCAGGGCCCAGGTTGATCTTTCACCTCAGCCTCCCGAATACCTGGGACTATACGCATGCACCGCCACACCTGGCTAATTTTCGCATTTTTAGTAGAGACAAGGTTTCACCATGTTGGCCAGACTGGTCTCAAACTCCTGGGCTCAAGAGATCCAATCACCTCAGCCTCCCGAAGTGCTGGGATTACAGGCATGAGACACAACGTCCAGCCAGAATTTTTTTTAAAGATGGTGTGTAAGTAACTTTTTTTTTTGAGATAGAGTCTAGCTCCGTCACTCAGGCTGGAGCGCAGTGGTGCGATCTTGGCTCGGTGCAACCTCTGCCTCTCTGGTTCAAGCAATTCTCCTGCCTCAGCCTCCCACGTAACTGGGACTACAGGCCCCTACCACCAAGCCCAGCTACTTTTTGTTTTTTTAATTTTTTATTTACTTTTTGAGACAGTTTTTGCTCTTTTTGACCAGGCTGGAGTACAATGGTGCGATCTCGGCTCACTGCAACCTCTGCCTCCTGGGTTCAAGCAATTCTGCCTCAGCCTCCTGAGTAGCTGCGATTACAGGCACCCAACACTACACCTGGCTAATTTTTGGTATTTTTAGTAGAGACGGGGTTTCACCATGTTGGCCTGCCTGGTCTTGAACTCCTGACCTCGGGTGATCTGTCTGCCTCGGCCTCCCAAAGTGGTGGGATTACAGGCATGAGCCACCGCGCCTGGGCATCAATTTTTTTTTTTTGAGATGGAACTTTGCTTTTGCTGCCCAGGCTGGAGCACAATGGTGCAGTCTCTATTCACTGCAACCTGCACCTCCCAGGTTCAAACGATTCTCTTGCCTCAGCCTTTAGAGTGGCTGGGATTACAGGCATGTGCCATCACGCCCGGCTAACTTTTTGTATTTAGTAATTAGAGATGGGGTTTCACCATATTGACCAGGCTGGTCTCGAACTCCGGATCTCAGGTGATCCACCCTCCTCAGGCGTGATTACAGGCATGAGGCACCGCGCTGGCCTTATTTTTTATTTTTTTAAGACGGGCTTACTCTGCTGCTCAGACTGGGGCTCCGTGGCACCATTTCACCTCACTGCAGCCTTGTCTTCCGGGATTTAAGCAATCCTCCTACCTGAGTCTCTCAAATAGCCCAGGCTATAAGTGCACACCACCATGCTCAGCTAACTTTTGTGTTTTTAGGAGAGACGGGGTTCCCCCATGTTGGCCAGGCTGGTTTCAAACTCCTGAACTCAAGCAGTCTACCAGCCTTGGCCTCCGAAAGTGCTGAGATTACAGGCATGAGCCACCAGCCCAGCCCTGTATTATGTTTTCTGAAAGTTGTTGTTGTTTTTAATCACCCAGTAGTAATCTTCAACCTCTTGGCATGTAAGAATTTAGAGATCTATTTGGAATAATCTTTAAAGTAACAGTAATAACTACAGTCAAAAGCAGTAAGATTAGTGGGCCCGGTGCTGTGGCTCACACCTGTAGTCCCAGCACTTTGGGAAACCAAGGCAGGTGAATCATCTGGGGTCAGGAGTTCGAGATTAGCATGGCCAATAAGGTGAAACCCTGTCTCTACTAAAAATACAAAAATTAGCTAGAGGTTTTGCCTCGCGCCTGTAATCTCTTGAACCCAGGAGATGGAGGTTGCAGTGACCCAAGATCATGCCACCCCACTCCAGTCTGGGCGACAGAGTGTCACTGTCTCAAAATAAAAATAAATATAATAGGAGATTAGGCAAAAAGGATAGTAAGTTCATGTGCCGGGCTCTCTGTTTCACATTTCTTCCTTTCCCTTAGAAAATTTTGCTTTTTCTTGTCCCAAAAGGAGGTGTGTATTACTTCTAATACCATATTTTAGTAGCTTTACCATATTTTAGTTTTTAAAATTCATTTTCTTGATTTTTCAGCTTTCATTTCCATTTCAGTTTGTACCCGAAGGAGAGAAGCATGGATTGAGTTTGCCTGGGTTTTCTGAATTTCATAATATAAATTTGAAACTCAGAAGTGGGAGGTATACAGGCCTTGATTAGTGAATTTCAAGCTCGGTTCTCGGGGTGAAGGACAAGGTTAGTTTTACTCCAAATAATCCTACCATTCAGAAAACCTGGTGTGTCTAAGGAAGAAAAAACAAGTTGTGACTACAAACCTGAAAGTAAAGGCAAACAACTGCCAGACCGAGGCAGGAAAGTGGGGGAGAGCCCTGGGTAAATATCGCACGCCTCCTGGGGCCCCCATGGACTTTGACTGAAGGGAGAGATGAAGGGAATTTGTTAAAGAAAGAAGTCACTGGGACAGACAAAAGCTTCTGGCACAGGAAGTTAGTTCGACTAAGGATACTGAAATGTAGGAATTTGAATGGGTTCCTGGGTGTGAGGTTGCAGTGAAACTTGATTGAAAAGAAGCTGCCGGTGGTGAGTCTCTCCTTAAGCTATTCCTGGCTTCTGGATAGTTGGCG